ATCTGAAATAGTCAGGTGAGTAAAATTCTTGTTCATGCAATCACATCTTCTCCTTCTGAAGTGCTACCTGGAACTCGTCTCTTCGCTTCCAACAGCATTGGCGAGAATTGACGTAGTGATCAAGAAGGTGGTTGTATGGGTAATACACTTAACAAATATGAGCGTCACGAAACGTCAAAGCGAGCCTTTCCTTATGACAAACTGTGTGAGAGGATGAATTTCTTGTACTCTGGCGTAGTTTATCTGACCACAAGTTCACTCCCAAATCCGTATTCTGTCGAAGTAGCGCAGTCGTACTCTTGGAGCGAGATGTTCACGGAACGTAGGCAGAGCCTGAAAAAACCTCCAAAACTGTCTAGACTTTTATACGGTCCATAGAGTCGAGACTGTCAGCCTTTGCGATTTATAGGGTAGCATTAGTTCTGACACCTATAGTCAAATTGCGATAGTTCTCTTGCAGAAACTTTTTTGCTTAGAACCTCGCAGAATATCTATTAATTTGGAGGACTAATTCCTCATCTTGTTTTAGACAGACAATCTACGGTAACTATTTGCCAACATTTTATTTATCCAAAACTTAGTCAAACATTCATTCTTTTTATACTGTTTTTATTTTTTACACGTTTCCTTAACTCACATTAATCTCTATTTATTTAAGTTTGTCTATTAACTGTTACGCGGAAGATTTCAATTAGTGTGGTTTACGGTATCAGTCGCGGATATTTGAAACACTGTTCTTGTGCTTCACTGGTCGGTGTAAGCAGTAAATTTCGTTATAACGGGGCTACCTTGCACAGCTCATCTTGACCTGCTCTTAGCGTGGAATCATATTATCGATCGTTCACACTCGATAAAAACCACTATGTGAAGAATCTCTTTCACAGCTTACGGAAACCCTCACTGAGACCCTTCATAACTACTCCAACAATTCAACGGATGAAACCCTCTTATTATTTATGCAGTTATTCTAACGCACGAAACAGACCTATCGTGACCTGTAACGGTTAAAATTGTACCTAGGTGTTTTATTTGGACTTTAAAACCAAAGGCCATATATAAAAAGAGAGGGAGCTAGTTCTTATTTCGAGAACGAAAACCATTGCGGAAAAAACTCCGCTGGACACGGTACTCTTAAACTTAAATTCCCGGGGATGGGAAACTATTACTGCGCCCTAGAGGTCAGAGTAAAAGTAACCCAAATCATAACCCTAACTCAAGTTCGACGCATAATTATCAAAACTCTATATGTAATCTTAGCACTAACCTCGATCGTAACGCGAAGCATGCCTCATAGTTATTGCAGGATCACCTGTAATACCACCTGTTTATAAACAAAAAAGTATGAAAGCACATAATGGTCCAACTATAGGTCAAAAATGAACAGCGCAGGCTGGTAGGATTTGCTAGCACCAACACGGGTTCAGGCCTTCTTTAAACAGGTTGCATTGGTTAGTAAATAGCGTGGTCTGTCAGTTAGACTACAAAATGAAAACATTTAGAAGGAAAGACGCAAATTACAGTTGCCCATTAGCAATAACACTATTACGACAATTAATTTGTCCACCACCTACTGACGCAAATTATTGTGACAAATTAGCGCTGACCCCAGCTGATTGTTAATTTTTACAGCACAATTGAAGTTTTAATTGTTTGTTGCACATCTTCTCAAGTCTGACGACAACCAGGAAATCCAACGTCCCAAATTCACTAAATAAACTAACATTGCCTTCCCAAAGAAAGTATTTCCTTCAAATTGCATTTTTTGGGATGCCTGCTTTCCAATTTTTAGGAAGGAACACAATTTTGGAAGATGGGTTAGAGAATAAGTTTAAGAAATGTGCCATCAGTAGCGCATACAGAACAGATAAACTGAAAAAAAACACTGCCGGGAGGCAAACGCGTAGCGAAGGTCAAAAAGTATCCGGGATCGGCGTCATTTTGCGTCTAAGAGTGATTAGTCAAAAAAGCTTTCCAAAAAGTGTCTCGTTCGCTTAGCATCGAGGCCCCGTTCGAAGTAATGATTCATCTACTTATTCTGCTGGCATTTTTAATCGACCCAACGTGATCAATTATTTGGCAGAGAGAAAAAGCCGACAAGTAATCCCTTATTTTATACGCATACATTTCAAGCCATTTTCGCGGAAGGAGGTCTTTAAGTCAAAAATATAGTTACTGAGAAGAAGACGACCCGATCGCTTGGTCAATACTCCTATTCGCCTAACCTTTCAAGATCTGTTGCGGATTCATCATCATAAACGTAATCATAGAGCAGTAGCAGATACGGGTTGAAACCGGATCTGCGAATAGGTTAGAGCCTCACAGAGGTTTAACATTTCCAATCGTCGAGCCGATCGGCTACTGCTCTCTGATTATGTCTCTGATGACGAATCCGCAATGGATCTCGAAACGTCAGGCGAATAAAAGTACTGTCCCAGCGATAATGCCGTCTTCTTCTCAATTACTTCGTGGGACTCGCATGTTCGCTTGTATTGGCAATATCGTTACTGTTTTTAAATTCAAATTTCAGAGCCTCGAAAATGTCATGAAACTGCCCATAGATGGTTGAGATCAAATAAATGCAGCCTATATTGTTTGTAGAAGTGAAGAATTAAATCACACAAAGAAGAGAAATAGTGACTCTACAAAAGAAGTCTTGACATCCCCATTAAAACTACCAAGTCGTCTAACGTCTTTTTAACTGCAGACATTAAGAAAATTGAGTTTTGCCATAGTCCACGTACAAATATCCCCCCTTTTTACCGAAGAACTTGCATATATTGGGAAGGTGTTCCAGACGAAGACCATAATGCCCGCCTGAGAGGTTAAATATACGTCTAGACGATAATGGAAGGTCTAGTTGCGGTAGGTATGTGAACATCTGCAAGCGCAGATGTAGCGTTAACTGTCGTGCTGCATATGAAAGCTGAACATCAGTTTAAAATTCCTAGATAAATGGAAATCGGTCAAGCCACACTGGTACTTAGTGCGCTCACATATCCTTTGGATTAACGTTCTACGGCAAAGTCCGAATCCCGGATTCATTAGCGCAGTAATCTAAACATATATTTTCCTCCTATGCACTACCCAACAGTTTCTAGATTGTGAAAGGTTTTAAACAAAGAAAATTCACATATTTTCATCACGCAAAATAAACTTTGCTAGAAAGTAAAATCAAATTTTATGACAATGTAGGTGATTTGAAGTCACCCAAAACTGCACAAAGATTAGCCGTTCGCGCACATTGTACATCGGCATTACCTGTGGTCTTATGCTTAATCACAGATAGAGTTAGAACTGGGGTGCTGGGAGGGTAAGGTGTAGAACTTGTGCAAAAACACCTCTCCCGGCGGTATTAGTGTCCGTGAATGAGACTCCAGGAAGGACAGCTAGTTCTGTATCCTAACCCTAGCCCAAACCATACTCCAAACTCAAGCCTTACCATAATGAAGCCCTTACGCACATTATCCTAAAATCAAGTAAAAGACCAATTTGTAACAGAGGTGCTTCTTACTCGGAATGAGCACATCCACAGGCATTTAGCAAATGGCCGTTTGTAATACAGAGAACACGTATACCTCCATCATGACAAAAAACCCATTCAGCAATAGTTTCAAAAACTTTTGGGGAATTAATCTGAGAAAAGCTATCGATTCCTGCACGAATCTGGCTCTTAAAATATTACCAGAAGATCCTCACATATTACTTGCTCGGATTCTAAGAAGTCAGTACGAAATTTCCTTTGCCTGGTGAGATTTTACATGTTCAGAACTCAACAAATGAAATAGGTGAATATCTGGATAAGTGAAGTGAATATCTGACTTCTAAACATGGACACCGCTTTCATCCAATTTTTTTGTTTAGAAACTACATCTCACGCACATAAATTAAAGTAAATAGATAAATATCTTCTCTTCTCTGCGGAAAGGAATGTTTGGGTAACAAAAGAATACGAAAATTTATTATAGTCAAAAGCACGCTTAATATTTTGAGACCGCTTTTTAAGATTGCAAAAAATCGTGCTCACTAATAAAGGGTCGCAGCAGACCATGTTGCGTAGAGCTCGGGAAAAAACTCACGGCTCCCAGTTGGGGCCTCGTTGGTTGGTTAGTAGCCCTTGTTGGATCAGGGGTTCCCGCCGGAGTCCAAA